GGGGGGGAGGGGAGAGGAAATATGAAAAAAAAAATAGCCATAGAAGAAAGGAATTTTGTTGGAGAAAACGGTGTTTTTGTTTTTGTTTTGTTTTGGTAGCTGTAATACTGGAGGTTTTTGGTAAATTTTCACTTTACATACACTACTGATAATTATGTGGTTCTACATAGGTTCTGGAAGCAGAGAGTGTAGTGACTGGTGCAAGGGTAAGGCAGGTAAGATTTCAGAGGAAAGACACACCAGATGTGACACAGCATCATGGTCCTGAGACCCTGAATTTTACAGGGTCGATCTCTCGACGGTAGGTTTCCTGGGCTCCTATCATCTCTGCTTTACCACTTTTCACTCTCAGTCATCTCAGCCTTCAGCTTTAATTAGATGGCCAGGGCCCTTATTTTGGAAAGGGGCTAGAGAAATGCAAATCTAACTTATTCAAAGCTTCCTGACAGCCACGTTTGCAGATCTCTAGGCAAAGTATGCGTCTGGCCTTTTTCAACGAAGTATTTTCAGTAACAAGTTGTCAGTGAGGTCAGTGACTAGTGGTTCAGGATTAGATACCACCCACCCCGGCTTGTAACCTCCCCTTTCTTTCTTATCCTGGGTGAATGCCGCTCAGCTAAAGTGACTGCCCCACTGCCACTGGCTCTCCACTTGTTGCTTTGCAACTCGGTGACTAACCAAGACGTCTTTTTATTCGCTCCCCCCCTCAAAGCTCTTTTTGGATAATTTCCTAGAAGAGCCCAATTTTAAACACATCTACTTGATAGGAAGCGACAGAAAGGTAAGTGTCACGTTTGTAAGGAGAAGAGCTGGACCTCAGTGCGTTCTTGGTTCTGCGTTGGATTGCTCTGCGTTAGTTAAAATGCGGGATTTCCTTCTGAATGAAAGGACGTCACATTCTTCTCTAAAACGGGGATGCTGTGAGTCGTTCTGGTGAGAAATGTAGGCTTTCACGCTAATTTTAAAGTTATAAATAACGTTCAACCCAGTGCCAGGGGAAGCTGGCAGCCAATGTCGTGCTTTGCATTCAGAGAGTTTCTGGCTATAAAAAGCCCGTTGCGATACCACGCAGGAGAAGATAAGATGTGGCCTGGATGCTTCTGCTTTGCCATGGAGCTGGGGCAAAAGAAAATGTGTGAAGGGGTTTTACTTTTAACCAAAAAAGCTTGTTCACAGCGAATGGGAGCTTTTCCAGATGACAGAGTGGCAAAAGCATTAGTGCTTGAATTTAACGTTTGTCTTCTATCTTTGTGTTATAATAGGCAGTAGTATCAGGAGGCTAAGGAATCTCGCAGAACTGTTCTACCACCATGTATAACCAAGTGAAAATCACAGTATATAAGGCGAACGTGGGCTGTGATATACCATCAGTAATGTGAAGAGCGGGTCACAGTCGGGTCTGCGGGACTGTGAGCCGCTGCTCTCGGTTGCCCTGAGGCCAGAACTGGAAGGAATGAGTTCAGATGGAAATCAGGAGGAATTTAGGTTAGGCCTCAGGAAGCTCGTTGACTGTAGAGCAGCGGTTCTCAACCTGTGGGTCGCGACCCCTTTGGGGGGGTCGAACGACCCTTTCACAGGGGTCACCTAAATGCATCCTGCATATCAGATATTTACATTACGATTCATAACAGTAGCAAAATTACAGTTATGAAGTAGCAACAAAAATAATTTTATGGTTGGGGGTCACCACAACATGAGGAACTGTATTAAAGGGTCGTGGCATTAGGAAGGTTGAGAACCACTGCTGTAGAGGTTTTGAGTCCCTGATAAGACACCATGAGGAGAGACTGTTGCAACGTCTCTGAAGATCCATGAGATCCAATGATTTGCTTACGTGGGAAAATTAGGATTTCAAATTACTAGTAGTCTTGGTTCTGGGTTGTGGCTAGCTTATTTAGGCAGATGGAAAGGTCAACATATTGAGAATACTTGTAATTTGGAATATGAAGGATCAGCAGTCAAATTTGAATGGCACATTTGGATGCGCTATTAAAATGTCATTACCCACGATAAAAACATTAACACAGTAGTAGCACAGGACATATTGGTTAAATGGGGAAACCCACAATATAAAGAGTATGGACACAGCTATTCCCATTTGTTACCTCCTACATAGAGCCAGTCTGCTTTCTTATTTGAGTAACATATTGGACTTTTTATAGTAAAGCTTCCTTTGGTTTCATTATAATAGTAATATATATTCATTGTATGAAATGTAAAAGCACAGAAAAAATGATCTGTAATTTTATTGATGTATTTCCTTCCAGTCTTTTTTCTCTGCATGGCTTTAAAGTGAATTGCAATAATACTGTAGATAAAATTTGGAACCATGCTTTTTCATTTAACCGTATGCCAAAAATTTTTCCAAATAATATCTATTCTACATAGATATTATTTTAGGTTGCTGTGTAACATTATTCCAAGTAAATAGATATAATTTTATTAATCATTGCCAAACATCTACATGCTGTGTTAAATATCTTTGTGTGTGTGTATATTTATTTATGTTAAAAATAATTTCCTTAAGCTCTATTCTTAAGTGTGGACTTGAATTAGAGAGCATTAGAGTTGAAGACAAATGTTGTGATTTTTAAGGATTTTTTTTAAGGCATTGTAAAATTCCTTGTCTACCAACTGAAATACTTATTGAGTGTCTCTCATATGCAAAACGTTTTTGTGAGGCACAGGCACACAGATAGGAACACACTAAGTGTTTGGAAGGACAGAATCCCTTCTATTTACAAAATTTCAACTTATCAACTTTCACAGATATCAATAAGGCTGTGTGTGTCAGAGTTGAAATCCTTCACCTTGTGTCTGAAACCAACAGATAGTATTATTATTATTTTTAAATATGCTTTAAAAATTCATTTCAGAGAGGAAGGGAGAAGGATAGAGAGAGAGAAAGAAACATCAGTGATGAGAGAGGAACATTATTGGCTGCCTTCTGTATGCCCCCCCCCTCCCCCAGGGGATTGAGTCTGCAACCCGGGCATGTACCCTGACCTGGAACTGAACAGTGATCTCCTGGTTCATAGCTCAACGCTCATTCACTGAGCCACACCAGCTGGGCCCAACAGATAGTATTGTTGACTATTTATATTACTGTGGACTTTAGAACAATAAAATTTATAACTTGTTAGAGCACCATGTATATATCATTCTGATTTATATGAATTTTATGATCCAACTGTGACAAAGAAAAAGCAGAATTAGGAAGGATACACACTTTATAATAAAAGTTTGGGGAAATTAGAAGTATTTGGAGAAAATCTGTAGGTAGCACAGTGGAAAGGAAGGAGAGGGCGCACACAAGAGCATGGCTAGAGTGGGAGTCATGGAAGATACAAAGTTTTAAGTTTGTTGTTGTTTAATTTGGGAGCTATGGTTATAGAAATAGAATATATCAAAGGGAAAACACTAAGGGATTGGTGATCAATATTTGATTTTTTGGAGATGGTGGCTGGTTCACAGAAATCAAAGTGGAGAGAGTAGAGAGATCAGTATTACTTGGTGGGAGGTGAGTTGAGGAATAGGGTTGTGAATTCTTTTTTTTTCTCGTTAATACTCATCTGAGGATATTTTCTCCTTTAATTTTTTGAGAGAATGGAAGGGAGGGAGGAGAGAGAGAGAAAGAAACATCGATGTAGGAGAGACACAGTGATTGCCTCCCCCATGCTGACTGGGGCCAGGGATTGAACCCAAGACCCTCAGTGCGTGAGCTGACACTCTAACCACTGAGCAACACTGGCCAGGGCTGGTTGTGAATTCTTAAAGAATATATTCTGCCTGTATTAATTTTTTTTTTAAATTGTGGAGTTTTACTTTTCAGTGATACTTAGAGGTCATAGCTATGAAAGGATGGGTGTTCTCTTTTCTGTTTACTATGAATGTCTGTTTGCATGTTTCTATTTTTTTTTAATAGAAGCGATTCATATTTAAGAAGAGAAGTTGGCAGCCCAATCTTGCCTGAAGAGAAACCATGTGCTTTCTAATGAAGACTTAAAAATAGTGTTTATTTATGGATCATTGGCTCATGGGAATGTTAGTCTAGAGACTCAAAAAGCAGTTTTGTGTGGATACTGGATTTTCAGTGACATGGTGCTGGGGAAGTGGAGCTCCTGAGTTTAGCCAACTTGCAAATCTAATGGAAAGTGACAGATAACTGAGAATACAGAATTTAAAAAAGTGAACAGGACTATTAGCCGTTGCATCTGATTTTCACGTGCTTTAATGACTGTTTTTAACTACATATTGCTGCCTGGGACAGACATAGCCAGTAATCTGCTACCAACTGAATCACTAACTTCCAGGTTCTGAGGAGTGACTGAGTTCCTATGTACAAAATTATAAATTTAGATCAAATTTATTTGGCATCCCTGCTCCCCCACCTCTTTTTCCTGCCTTTCATGGTCCTAACCAGTTAGTGATGCTTCAGGTCTCCCTTTCATGGGGAAATCGAGGCAGAAGGCAATGATTAGCTCAAAGCAAGGCCCTCAAGGAGTGGAACTTGAGCACTTTAGGCCCCACTTGATATTAGCGCTTTTCCAAATGTGATCAGCATTTCCCGATCTAATTAATGGTCCGTGAAAGGGCATAAAGAGTTTGTACCAGGATGTGAGTCATCTATGCCCTAAGACTTTGTAGCAAGACTGTCTAGATGAGTGAAACAGTTATCAATTTACATTATAGTGCAAGCTCTGTATCTCGTTGCAGATCTGTGCTTTGAATAGCATTACTTCAATGACACCATATAGCATTTATCTCTTCTGTTCTATTTGCATTATGAGATAGAGAATTGGGATGGAGGTGTAACGAGATAATAAGTGAATGACCAGGTCTCAGTTGATGAGGCTTCTGGAGGTGGTATCAATGCAGAGTGACCCCGGTTAGCTCACTGAGAACCCACAGAATGACTGAGAGGCAGATTGCTGAGAGGACCGCATGGACCTACTCTAGTGCTGGCTTTGGAATCACTCTCTCAGTGTAGATGACTTGGACCAGACATTATTCTTAGTGCTGGGGTAGATGCTAGGGAACCAAATAAAGCCCGGACCTCATGGCGTGTCCTGTCCAGTGTGTGTGTTTGTGGGTGGGGATGAAGGGGGATTTCTCTGTGAGTCTCTAAAAGAGGTACCAGAATCTTATTTACTTGAGGGCTGGAGCTCGTAGGTCATGGGAAGTGGAGAATTAACTTGCTTTTTTGTTAGACTCAGTAGTTCCTCTCTTCCCAGTCTGGGACAACAAAGGATCAAATAATCTGTGACAAGCTTTGCCGATTGCCTAGACAATAGCTATGCATTCTGCTCTTCTTGTTAATGTACAGAATCTACTTTAGGTGAAGAAGGAAAATGCACACCATTACACTTGTTGACCTGCATCTCGTGTCTCCTCTTCTCCCCCACGTTGGACAGTTACATTTATTTAGGACAGATTTCTAGCAATTTATGTAGCTCTACCTCATTCTTTTCAACTTCATAGTGTCTATAGCGTAATTTATTTAGTCCATTCTGTGTTAATGGATATGTTTGTTGTTTTCAGTATTTTTTGTTTTTCATGTTGCTATGCTGTAATGAATATCTTTGTTGATATCTCTTAATGCACTTTTATGAGTGTATCATTAGGATAAACTCATGGAAGTAGAATTTCTGGGGCAAAAGGAATGTTCATTTTAAAATTTAATAAGTATTGACTGTAATTGGAAATGTCCAAGCTTAAATAGTATACATGATTAAACATTGGAGAGCTATTGCCATGCATCTCTTCAAGAAGAGCGCATCC